GTCACAGTTCTCATACAAGGGGAGTTTGAGAATTTTGTAAAAAATGTATCTTATAAAATTAAGAACTTAAAAGTTAGATAATACTAACCTTTGATTTATTATCTACATTCACATATATTGATAATAAGGTAGTTTAATTAAATGTTAAAAGTAACTCTGTGAAAGGTTGTGACATGCACACTTTGACCTACCTAAGGTGAAAGGGTTAATCATGTGGTACTTTCACGTGGCTTTATTTTCTTGCAACTTATTGTCATTGACTAAACCTGTTAAAAGTTAATTGTTGACATATTCGGTACCTGTGGATGAGGGGTCAAATCTCAAGTGACCCTACAAATTTTCGTGCGTACAGGAGCCGGGAGTTAGGGTTAAATAGAACCCTGATGAACGACCTGATTGAGTTTTGTTTTGCTGACCTTTAGAGATTAAATGTGTATATGAACAGAACTGTGGACTTCTGATCCATATGTCTTAAGCTTTTTTGTGAGAAAATTATACTTGGAAATATTCTGTGTTAATAAAAAGGTACAAGACTTGGTTGTAGTGCTACGAAGCATTAAATGAGTTCATTACTCATGTCTAAATTCTACTTAATAATGGAAAAAATTGGGTTATTTTATTTTTCAGATGAAATATTTAGCAATGGCACAGATCCACTAGAATCCAGAATATCCGAGTTAGAGAAGAAGGTGGGAGACCAAGCTGATGAGATAGTTTCTTTAAAAAGTACAATAGCAGATATACTGCGACGGGTGAGCCAAATGGAGGGGAGAGGTTAGTCGACATGCTTAACACTTGTCATTACTAGTTAAGTTTTTATAGATTAATGCACAGTTTTTAACAAACTTGTATACTGTGGTATTTGCTTGTTTGTCTTTGTAACATTAAAATGGCTTGAGTTCACTCTGATTAATTTGTTTCATAAATATGGTAAGAAATTTTTAAAATTGATGTATATTGTAGTAAGTTATTAGTTATTGAAATATGTTGTCAGTGGATTAATACGTTCTTTTGTCCAGTTAAAAATTATGTTTTTCTTTTAACATGTCATTCAGTTAAAAAGCAGATGGGAAAAGATTGGATTTTCAAAACATTCAGCCAGTTCTTTTATTGAAAATTTTGCTAGAATGTTGGATATAAATCTAAAGTTTCTTGTTATGAGCACTGAAGTTATTGATTATACCAGTTTTAGGGATGAAGAATAAATTGGTAGCATCAGTGCTATATATTCTCATAGTAATATAGGTTCACTTAGTGAGTAAAAGACAACTTAAAGCACTGCACATATATACTCTGCTACTATATGAAACCTACTCTTGTTCTTTTGATTTGCTCTTATCCATCCCCCGGTGGGACAGTGATAAGTTTTCAGATTTAAAATGCTATAAAATCAGGGGTTCGATTCCCCTCAGTGAACACTGGAGATAGCTGATGTGGCTTTGATATAACAAAACATAAACATTGCTCTTGTCCAGGGTTATTGTGTAGGGGTACAATTGCTCAAAACTTGCATAACTCAGTAACAAGTGGTAAATTGAATGAGAGATTGGACCTCATATTTACTTTTAGTATTATAAATAGCCCATCTGATGAATAATTCAGAGTAATAAACTAGTATCTGATTGTTTGTTGTTTTTTTTTCTTGTAATATGACAGTGATATCTAGTTTTCTGCAACATGACAGTTAAATCTTTGTGTAACAGTGACTGCTAGTTGTGTTTGATATATTTAGGGTAAGTTCTGCTGATGGATACTGATCAATACAGGTTACATGTAGTAATGTTGTTTCGTCTCGTTTTGTATAATATATCATCACTGATTTATAGGTTTTAAAATGACATTAAAGACATAGAAGCATCCATTTAATACAACTATTTAAGAAGAGCAGGTACATGAGCCTTTAGTATAAACCAAAACATCACTTTCCTCTTGTAGCCGTTGTAATTACCAACAACAGTATCACCACCCCTAACAAGATTACCTCCTCATCACGTCCAAGTTACAGAACTCCAGGCAGCAATGTGCAGCGTGACATGGTTGATGGGAATGGGATAGAGAATTCCTACCATACACAAGTAAACAACAAGCAGCGATCCCCTTCAGCTACAGACATCAAAAATCAAGGAGCGAGGCTATCAGATACGAAGTCCAATCATCGTCCCTCAACGTACACAGAAGAGAGAAGCCACACACGAACGTCCTATGGGCCCAAGCGATTGTCCCATTATCCTACGGGCTCCACGAGCTCCTTACAGAGCGAAGGGGGGCAGAGCTCTAACTCCCTCTCTCCTAGCTCCTCCCCAGCTCCCTCCCAGAATTCTGTTAGAGGAACACCATCACCACGTCATACACCTTCCCCTAGTCGAGGTTTCTCAGCTTCCACTTCTAACCTTTTGGCCATGAAGAGGTTTTCAGGAAGTCAGGAAGCTGGCTCACCAGCTGGAACTCTCTCAAGGTAAATAAACTTTTCATTTGTTAACCTCTAATTTAATTCCGATAGGACATAAAACTTTGTCTTGTAAAGTTTTAGTCAGTAGTGGTATTCAAATTGGATAAACAATAATTATCATTTCTTCCTTTCACTGTTGTTTATTTATCCATTTTCTCTGGATACTTTATTTTTATGATAGACCTGTTCATAGTTTTTTTTCTGAGAAATCCAATTCTTTCTGTGATTTTTTATAAAACTTTTGTTAACAGAATGTTAGTGATACATAATAGTATAGAATATTACTATATATGTATAGCATTAGAAAGCTACTTTTAGTACTTTGTATTTCAAAATGGCAGGCTCTAGTTCTCCTATTCTTGAAACTCCATTATTTTATAGCGATGCACTCAAAGAGTTGCAGCAGCTATTTCAAATTTATGTATTGATAATACTGTTTTTTTTAAAGTAAGCCTTCATGAATACATGTGACCTATATTAATGCAAGTTTAGAGATTTGAAATTCAATAGTAAAAAAAATGTTTTTTGTTAGCTTATAGTAATGTGTTTTCTTGCATGAAAATTTTTTTTTCCTTTTTAATGTCAAAATATTTTATCTTGTAAAGGAATGTTTTATGTGCATGATAGTGTTTTGAATGAAGAAAACGACTTTTTTCCTTCCTAGACGTGTGACTACAGGATCTCTCTTAAATCTGCATGTCCGAACAGCATCTGTTTTGCAGCCCAAGCACGGGTAATATTGACTGCCCGATGAGGCAGTGGTGTTTCTCTCCATACTGGTGGTGGTGGTGTTCTTTACTGGTTAACAAAGCTTTCTTGTAGTTGGTGTTGAAGCTCATATTGAAAGTATTACATGTTTGTGGTGGTGGTGGTACAACCTAGTTAATAACCCTTGTATTAAAATTTGTGAATATTTTGTGTAGTAGATGTATTTTATGTTGTAGTTCACAGACTTTGGGGTTTTCAAATACTTGATGTTAATGTGATATTTGTGATGCATGCTATATTTCTGAAAATGTCTTAAAAAGTTCTTCCTGTTAGTGATGGTGATCTTAGACTCTACAAGCTAACCAGTGTTTTGTTTAGGTGGTATTGAAGATAAAGCTTCTAAATAAGTTACCCTTGAATGCTAATGTTGTTTTGTTGATGGTGGTGGATTCAATCGTTGAATCAACAGTGAAGTATTTCATCAACATTCTTATAAGATTTTTATAAATAATTTGTGTGTGTGATGATGTTTTATTTTAACTATCAAGTTTTCCTGTTACTCGTGATGAAGCTGAAGTTTTAGAATAAGTAATCTACGTGGCTTATGTTGACTTTCAGGCTTCAGTTTGCCTGGTGTTGGAGCTGAAAATTGAGAATACCTTACTTTGAATCACTGTCTTTCATGATGGTGGCAGTTTCTGTTAGCTTTGGTGTGACTGGTGCAGAATTTTAAGCTTTATAATACATTATCCAGATGGATTGTGAGTTCATGGTGATGGTGGTATTTCCTGCTCATGTTGTGACTAGTTTTGTTCTGGTGGTGGTATCTCCTGCTCATGTTGTGACTAGTTTTGTTCTGGTGGTGGTGGTATCTCCTGCTCATGTTGTGACTAGTTTTGTTCTGGTGGTGGTGGTATCTCCTGCTCATGTTGTGACTAGTTTTGTTCTGGTGATGGTATTTCCTGCTCATGTTGTGACTAGTTTTGTTCTGGTGGTGGTATCTCCTGCTCATGTTGTTGCTGTGATGGTATTTCCTGCTCATGTTGTGACTAGTTTTGTTCTGGTGGTGGTATCTCCTGCTCATGTTATTGCTGTGATGGTAGTATATTCTCCTCATATTGTAACTAGTGTTACTCTGATCATGGTATCTCCTGCTCATGTTGTCTCTGTGATGTTAGCATCTCCTTCTATTCTTGTGGCTAGTGTTGCTATGATGATAGTGTCTCTTTGCTCATGTTGTAACTAGTATTGCTGTGGTAGTGGTATTTCCTGCTCATGCTGTGGCTATTGTTGCTGTATGATGGTGGTCTCTCCTGCTGATGTTGTAGCTGTGATGGTAGTATCTTCTATTCTTATGTCTAGTGTTGCTGCTAATGTTGTAAACAAATGTATTCTAAAATGCTTTATGTTCTTGTTGATGCATGGCTAGCGCCATTTTGTTGTAATGTTGGTAGAGTTGATGATCATGGTTAACAAGCTGTTTATGCAGTTTTTGTAAAAAAATAATACATTTTTAATGGCAGTAAACTCTGCCTGGTATTAACATACATATGTCAAAACTGAAGTTTAAAACTAACTGTAACTTCTGCAGCTTAGTATTCTGGTACGGCAATAACATACTTACGTACTAAAGTTTATATTATTACTTAGAAACTCATATAAACTTCTTGTAGTGTTATGAAGTTCAATAAATGTTAATAAACAAAATGAAAAGTACTGAGATAGCTGTTATCAATGATAGGTTTTAATTTCTGAAACATGGTAAACACATTAATACAAGATATCACTACTAGACTTTCAATGCCTGGCAGATGGTAGTGGTTGTGTTGGATTTATTTGTTTTATGTGTAAAGCAAGCTGTTGAATGTTGAAAAGACCTACAATTAGTCCTGTCAACACTTAGATATTCTATAATATTTATAATGGATTTATTATTACACAAAATAATATAAAAAATATGAAGTAACATAAGAAAAACAGCTGGGTTACTGCAACCTATTGCTTCATTTTACCCATAAAATTTTTTTTTACCATTCACATAAAATGTCTTTTACTTTTATTATTATTATTATTACTTTTTTTATGGATATGGTAAAACCATGTTGTATAGTTTAACTTCAGTAATTGTCACAATACTCTTTACAAGCCATAATAAGAATATTTATTATCTTGATTCCAAGATTATAATTAGTATATCAGTCCTAACTCTGTATTCAGTGGTGGAATGTGGGTTTAAAATGTGTGTGGGGTGGGTTGGGGGGACCAGTTTCTGTAGTTAGGTTGGTTTATGTCATCATTTTCACAGTTAATAAATATTTTTATAATGTTATGTTTTTTGGTATTTAAAGACTTATTCTTCCCTTAAGTATGTTCCCCACTTATTATTTACTGATTACATCATTGCAAAAAACACCTGTATTCTACATCTTCTGATCACAACTGGTGGAAATTGGAAATAACATGAAAAGTACCACAAAATATATTTTAAAATATTTATTTAACATTATAAAGAACTATTAACCACTTTGGTCTTCTTTACTTTTTTTCAGCACCAAAGAAATAAGTCTGAATTCTGGTGAGTTATATTTTCCTCCATCTTGCTAATATTAAAACACTCCTGTCATACTCTGTTCAAATATTTCTCTTGTTCAAACACCTCTGTTTTATTATGTTCAAACACTCCTTTTTTACCAATATTCAAGTATTTCTGCATTATTAATGTCCAAACAATTGTGATTTACTAATTTTCAAACACTCCTTTTTACCAATGTTCAAGTATTTCTGCATTATTAATGTCCAAACATTGTGATTTACTAATTTTCAAACACTCCTTTTTACCAATATTCAAGTATTTCTATGTTATTAATCTTCATACACTTGTCTAAATAAGGTATTTTCGTTTCTTTCTTACAAACTTCAAATATTCTGTCTTCAGATAATTCTGTCTTACTAATACTCATACAGTTCTGCCTCACAATGTTCAGACACTTTTGTCATAATAAGGTATGTTTATCTCTGTCATTCTAATATACAAACATGTTTATATTATTAATGCTTTCACTTCAATTAATCTCCTTAGAACCAGTTGGTTTTATTGACATTAAAAATTTATTTTTTTCACACTAGAACATTTTTTGTGTGTTTTTGTTAGGCCTGCTAGACTATAAAGCTGAATATTTTTTTAAAATTATAATTAGTGTTATTTGAAATGTTTCATTTTTGCTACTGATGTTAAGATGTATTCTCATCTGCCATAATGAGTTAATTCTAAATGTTTCAAAAAATAACTATGTTACCTTAACTAGATGTTTTCTCTCAAACTTACCCAATTATATTTTATGTTTTGTTTTCCCTACCATTGAGTTTGTAAAATTAGCAATACTACTGTAAGAAGAGAAGGATACCTGTTATTAGTAGTAGTTAATTAACATTATATTTTGTTTAAATAAGGAAATTATTTTCCGGATGATCATAACAATGTATGCAAACTTTAAGTTTGTGATCTTGTTTTCCAAAAGCTCAGAATTGTTCAGTTAATAATGATTCCAGCAAACAGGATATTTTGACACATAAGTCTTATTTTCTTACCAGTTTTATTACAAGCTCAGTTAAGATTAATTTTGTGAAGAAACTGATAGTGATACAATTTTTATGAACAGTTGCTTCTTGCAACAACATACTTAAAATATTTTTTATTACAGAGGAAGGGACACTGAAGATGTACTTGCGTGGGCGGCCAGTTGTAATGCACATCCCATCTGAAGTTCTGCAAGACTACACTCTAAGTAAAGTGAACAACGCCCCGTTGCAACGGCTACGCTTAGAGTGGGTGTATCCTTTGTTGTTAAACATATTCATTTCCTTGTTTTTTTCTCCCAATTTGTCCTTCTAACAATGATGTGATCAAACAAATGAGATTAAGAAAAAGTAATACACATTTTATACTTAACAAATATTTATCATAAATTTGAATTTAATCACATATGCAGATTAATACTTTTCTTCAGTCTTTTGCAATAGTCAGTGATATTTGTATCTACTTGGGTGTTATCTAAAGCCTGTTTTTCCAGCTGTACACATTTTAAAAATTAAAACTGGTTAACATCCAACTGTACACATTGTAAGTATTTAAACTGGTTAACATTCTACTGTACACATTGTAAGTATTTAAAATGGTTAACATCCAACTGTACACATTGTAAGTATTTAAACTGGTTAACATCCTACTGTACACATTGTAAATATTTAAACTGGTTAACATCCAACTGTACACATTTTAAAAATTGAAACTGGTTAACATCCAATTGTACAAATTGTAAATATTTAAACTGGTTAACATCCAACTGTACACATTGTAAGTATTTAAACTGGTTAACATCCAACTGTACACATTGTAAGTATTTAAACTGGTTAACATCCAACTGTAAACATTGTAAATATTTAAACTGGTTAACATCCAATTGTACAAATTGTAAATATTTAAACTGGTTAACATCCAACCATACACATTGTAAATATTTAAACTGGTTAACATCCAACCATACACATTATAAATATTTAAACTGGTTAACATCCAACTGTACACATTGTAAATATTTAAACTGGTTAACATCCAACTGTACACATTGTAAATATTTAAACTGGTTAACATCCAACTGTACACATTGTAAATATTTAAACTGGTTAACATCCAACCATACACATTGTAAATATTTAAACTGGTTAACATCCAACCGTACACATTGCAAATATTTAAACTGGTTAACATCCAACCGTACACATTGTAAATATTTAAACTGGTTATCAATAATTTCTGTGATGCAGGGAGAATAGTAAGGTTCTTGTAATAAATAAAGTTGTAGTTATTTGTGTTGTTTATAATACCCACTTCAATTTCTTAGAAAAAATTTATGTTTATTAGTGCAACCACTACTATCTTTATATGAAAGTTTTACTAGCATTGTTAATGTGTTCTTGAATTTGGTTACACAAGGTGAAGAATATTTTTGCAAACCTTGAGTTATTATACTTAATTGTGATGTAATGTAGGACACGCGAGGTACTTGTGTTAATGATGCTCTAAATAGAACCAACTGTTGACATCTTTTAATGTCTAGATCTCATGTTTATAGTAGAAGTTCCTAAGAAAAGATGGTGACAGACTCTTAACCTTACATAACATATCTTCGTTTAATAATTGATGATGTTGTGCATGAAGAATTTGGTAAAACTAGAATGTTTTGTTTACAATGGTATAGGATTTTTTGACATGTGAAGTAGCACTAAAACCATTTCTGTAACCTTAATAGTGTTATTGATCAGTATTTATAACAAACAATGGACTATTATTGGCATGGCCTCTTGTGTTATCAATTTACAAACAGTATTTTTTGGATGAAACAAATATCTTCAGTAGCTCTAATATTTCTCATTTTTAGGTCCTCCCTAAAAACCCCAAGTTTTCCCAAATAGCTTTAAAAAGTCCTAAAAGTAAAAATGTTTTGTTGATCTGATGATGATAATAATGTAAAATATGATGTGGTGGTTTCATGGATGTAATTGGTACCTATCAATTGTTAAATAATGCTTTATACTTGCATATTATGATCTATAGATCAGCAGTTGTTTTTTTTTGTGTCATCACAATATGACTGATGATAATATATAATAAATCTTTACTGACCCTGTATGGGTTTTCACAAAGAATAACATAATAGACTTTGTGTGTTACATGCCCATCCAACGTTATGAGCTCTGGTATTGAGACAAAGGTCTCATTCTTGTGTGCAACATGCTGTACCCAAGGTGCTATTTTGTTCTTACCAAAACCCAATGAAGGCCTGTAAGAAAAAGATTTGTTTATAATTCTTATTAGTCTTGTTGTGGTGAAATGTCTTGCAAGTCAATGATCTTTAGTAATAGAAAAGAGAAAAAAATGAGTAACTAACTAATAATTAGACTTAGTGATTGTATAGGAGTCTAGTGCTAACCTTAACCCACAGAGCACAGTTACGGCTATAGAGGAAGAGACTGTCGGTCTAACCTTCACTTGCTACCAACTGGAGAGATGGTTTATTTCGTAGCTGCTGTTGTGGTCCTTTACAATGTGGATGATCAGACTCAGCGTCATTATTTGGGTCACACAGATGATGTGAAATGGTAAGGAAAAGTTTGGTAGAACCTATAATAGTGGTAAATCAGTAAGATTCCTACTTTAATGTATATTTTTTCATGTACATGAAGACCTAGATTAATTCTTGTGCTCATGTCATCTTGCTTATTTCCTGTTTTGATGCACATAAATGTTAATAACACAGGAACTACACTATAGCTGTAGTGTGGAGATCCTTTGGTTTTGTACGTTTGGACATGGTTAGTTTGCTCTGACACGAATCCAAGTGCTCATGCCCGTGTCTCGTTGCACCAAAAATGTGCTCTGCAGTTTGAGGCCCTGAGTGCATTGTAAGAGGGATGGTCAAATCCTACCATTGGTCAGAGCTGGCAGCGGATGCTGTTAACTAGCTACTTTTCTTCTTGTCTATTGATTCAGAATTAGGGATGATAACCCTTGTATAACTAAGTTCTAAAAACAAAGAAGCAAACTACTGCTATATGTGTTAATTATGTACAATTTTCTAATACTTAGTACTTTAATGATGTTAAAAAAATAATTTATTTTTAGATGTTAAATCTAAAATGAATGTCAAAAAATACACACTTGGTTAATTTAAAAGTTGCTTTGCATGTACTCTAGTATACATATGAATAATGAAATAAATATAGAGAGAGAATGTAAAGATAAAGCCATTATAGAATTATCTATTTAATTTTACAATCATTAACAAGCTTATAATCTTAAAGATGTTTTAAGCAATTTTTAACACAGTCAGCTGACTTATGCTATAAGTAGTGTTTGGTCCATTCTCTCTGTTTGGTTTTTATAATGCCTAGAAACTTAAGTACGGTAATGAAACTGAAACCATTAATTATTTAGACCTGGAGAAGGGGTATTTATGAAATGCCTAGTGTTGTTCCTTATTCAAGTATTGTTACATTGTATTGTTTTATATACCATACATATAAGTAGTCTACTGTAGTGTCTATATGAGATTAAATTATTGTAAAATGGAGATCATGTTTTAATGCAATAAGTAAGGTATTTTAAGTGTCATTGAAAAACATCACATTTCTAAACATTAAAAAACTTGTTCTTAAGGATTTCTTCTGTAATTTCATTGTTGTTTGCACATAATAATAAAAGAAACATTAATACACTGTAATATGATGTATTTTTAGTTTGGCAGTGCACCCAAACAAGCTCATTATAGCTTCAGGTCAGGTGGCTGGTGTTGATCGAAGAGAAAGACGGGTGAGTTAATATGTATCTTTAGGCAAATAATGACTTATAATTTTTATGACAAAACCTGAGTATCTTTTTTTTTAATGTTGAATTTATTGTATTTTTACACATTTCTGTTTAAAAAAATGTTATTGATGTTTAGATACTGGAATTTTATTTGTTGCAGTTTAATGTGTTAGTTTATGATGTTATAGATAAATATTACAGTGGTGTACTTTTTTACTGTTGTTTTCCATCCTATGTAAAATTCTTATCTGTTTCCTTTATTTGACCTTCGACATCTAGGTGGAATGTATTTGACCTCTGACATCTAGGTGGAGGACTATTATAGTTCTCTGTCTATAATCCTTTGGTTTTTCTCTTCCATTAAACATCTTCTGTGTTCTACCATGATTTTTTATTGATCTTTTGTTTCAGACCTCCATCTGGTGTCAGTAAATGCGAACATGCTGTATGTTCCAGCTTCTTCACCCAACTGAGTGAATCTTTGTCTAAATATTTCTAGAGTTTTTTTCTCTGTTGTAAGAGACATCCTCAGACCACTTAGTGTCACTTGAGTTCTACACTTTTACACTGTGGTTAAACTTAACTATTATTGAACAGTTTTATTTTATGACTATTACTTGGTAATACTCAGTTACTTTAAATGTTCTAGGTTTTAAGAATATTTTGCCCAAGACATTTTGGTATGCGTAGATCCTAAGTCACGTTCAAATTATAATGACTAGTAGTTTCACATCAAGTTGAAAAAATAAAAGAACACTGCTCAAGTTCTAGTCATTTGCAAATGGATTTTTTTTTTCACTATTGATATTAGTGAAGAATAGATTCATCCTGTACAACATAAATTACATTTTCAATTTTACCTTTGGTGAAAAAAGAAATCTGTAATATCATTATATAATTTAAAGCCTAGAAATACCAGTAGCACAAATTTTAATTCAGTGATGTAAAACATCTAAGTTGAAGAAATTAGGCTTTTTTAGGCCTAGCAAAAGTGATCAGACTAAAATGCACCAGGGCCTAATTAGCAACATTTTATACCATAAAATACCCTGAAAATGCATTTTTATTGACTTAAAAAGGTGAAAAATATTGAAATTTGAAACTATTTTATCACTTCAGGGTTAGTAAACAAACATCATAGTGTAATGACTGAGTCAGCATCTTGTACCTCAATACAATCAGTCTTTTTTTTGCTGACTTGACAGTTCATTTGATTTTTATTATTTCCTATAGTTTTGATAAATTATAGTTTGAATTCTCTTATAATGCTGTTGATTTGTTGCATTATTTGAGTATCATATTCTTGTATTTCATTAACAACATTTTTTGTGTATATTAAGTGGTCCTTGATTAAAATTTGAACTTGTGTTTATTTTGATGTTATGTTCACATCTGCTTCTTAATGAAGCTGTATAGAGTTGGTCATGTGAAAAATTGGTTTTGGAAGAACCTGCGATTTATTAGTCATAATGGCAAAGGCAAAGAATCGGAGGGCCAAGGACAAGTCCATAATAGTAAAACAATTCATAAAAAATGCTTACAAAATTTTATACTAGCTTTTTAAAAAATTATTATCGAAGGTGAAAAACACAATTACCAAAAAAAATAATATTGTGGGGAATAATATAAATGGGAATTTTGTATTATGTTTCTTCATGATCATTTTTGTACTGATTATTTTTCCAAAAAATGTACAAATTTTAAAAAGTTCTTTCACCTCGTGTTTTTATTTAACTACTTGCTTAGTAGATTCTTCACAATCTAATCACCATGTGGGAGACTAGTGGTGACGAAAACCTATGAAATTTTGATATTTTTTTGGTTGTAGGAATTTTGTAATAAAGTAATATTAACCCTATCTTTGTCATTTGTATCACATGTGATTCACAGTACATAATACTAAAGCTCCCGAGTATCATATGTGATACACAGCTATATTTAGTTGATGCAGCTGATGCTCGTGAACATGGTAATAGAAGCTGATTGTTTTGGTTTAATGTATGAGATTAGAAGAGAGATTTATATGAGCATAACATGTGAAGCTCAAAGTGTATGTGAATGATGATAGGTTAAGTTACTTTCACTCAAGGAAAAATGTAACCTAGGATTTTTACTTGCTACAACTGTCTACTCCACTCTCCTTCAATATTACTAGAAGGATATGCTTCACTCATACCTACTTGGGTAAGTAGTCAAATAAGCATATCCATAAAAACAATTAAATAACCTAAGACAGGGAAAGGGTTAAAAGCGTATTGTCTTGCTTACTTTTATTTATTTATAAAGAATAAAGGACAACAAAGTGTATGTTATAGTACAAAGTATAATTCAGAATGCTTATAAAATGAAGACAAAATTATATTAAGTTTTACTAGTAATGTGTGTGTGTGTGTGTGTGTGTTGTTGATGAATGTTGAAAAAATATCTTATCAGTGTCGTATCTTTGTTGTAATACAGACATATCACACTGATTTATTTTATTTTTTTCTGTTTTCCTGTTCAGCCCCGAATTGTGGAAAGGGTAAAGTGAATTTCTTGTTGTTGTTTTTTTTTTGCTGTTGTGCTTTTTTTGCAGAATTATAGCTGCTCTGTTAGCATTGCAGATTTTAGGCTTAGTTCATACAAGGTACAGGAAAGAGTAACTTAGTTATAAACTGATGGGTTAAGTAACTGAATATTAATTAAAATATTCCATTTTAAACTAATTTTTACATGTATGATGGTTAAATCAAGTGTATTTTCAAATTACCTAAATATTGTACACCAATTTATATGCCTTTCTGAATACAAAATATGTATAAAAACAACAAAAGTATTTCATACAGAATTTTGTGTGCATGTAGTAGTTTACCCATTATAAAAGTGATAAAAATATTTTGTTGTATATACAAAATATTTTAGAACCTTTTATTGTTCATTTATTAACCTTAAGATTGAAGATATGAGGATACTGAACTATTTTATTTGATTAGAAAGAAAAGAAACTGGTGATATAATAAAGTAGAAACTAACAGCTGTTGAGTTGCTTTTGCATGGCTTCTGGTAGGCTTAGCCAACTGTGCAGGGAACAGGTGCATGTCACACATTTGCAGACGTGTTTGTTCTACTGACTTAGATAAGCTAGTATAAATTAAATGTTGGTTATAACTGGTCAGTGACTCGTGTATTTATTGTCCATTTCAGCCTCACATTAGAGTTTGGGATTCAGTTAGTCTAAACACACTACATGTGATTGGCATCGGAGAGTTTGAACGATCTGTTTGTTGTGTGGCTTTCTCCAAAGCTGTAAGTACCCTCTTGTGTGATGCTGGGATTATTATGTTTGATATAATTTTATAATTTTACTTGTAGGGTGCCATTATGTAGGAATAAACTAACAAAAACGAGTTCGTGGACTTCAAAGCTTTTAAAATAGACCAAAATTATAACTACTGGATAAAAAAATACAGTACTTTTGCATTCATGAAAACGTGTTTTGTATACCAGCTAGTAAGAACAGATGAAACTGTGTTGTGGTAAATAACTTTGTATCTGGTGAAAATTAAAGATTTAAAAAAGTTTTCATTTTAGCCATAAAAATTCTGATAGTTGAAAACCCAGTATTTTCTTTCTTTCTTGTTTTTTGAAGGATGGTGGCTCCCTCTTGTGTGCTGTAGATGACTCACCTGAACATACAATATCGGTCTGGGAATGGCACAAAGGAGAAAAAGGTCACAAGATTACTGAAACCAAGGTAAAAGGTTAAAATACTAGATTGATATACAGTATGATTCAAAAGTCCATTGATAGATAATTTAGAAATAGAGAGGCGTAGGCAAATAATTATTAGTGATATGTAATACAGGGTGGGCATATGGTGTGACAGTATCATTGAGGTAATTCAAGATCATGTTTCATGTCTTTCATAAAATGTTTTTATGTGCATTAACACCCAAAATGCCAATAACAAAGATGTAGGCAGTAAGAAATGAAACATTTAAAACCTAAAACTACCAAAATTACTCCTTCAAAGCAGCAGTTATAGATGTAAATGAACCCTTCCTTCCACGTATATTGAGTTGTGCCGCAGAAGATCAAAATCTGGCCACAGCAAAGGGTGTTACTTGAACTTAGGCTTGAAGCAAAAAATATGAATTTTGCATATGTAAGGATCAAAAATAATAAAAGTATTAAAGCCCCTACATAAGATAACACAGCAATGATGTGCTGCAGCTGCTCCCAAATAATATGTAATATGTCAAACAGTTCCCACATGAACCTCACCCTTCATATCAGATGATAGAAAATGTGTGTCAGCGGCTGTGTACTACAGACTCATTTATACATGGTTGTTCTGCAGGTAGATGTGAACCAGCAAATTATATTAATAATGAAACTCCCATATTGGCATTTGTCACATTTGTTCAGGTCTTTGAACACAGTTATTAGTTATTTGTAATTGTTTCTTGAGAATTCTCATATGCATTTATGTTTCAAATCATTGTTTTTGTAGAGCAATGTTGGTAGTTTTTAATTTAAAATGACTCGTTACCTATACCACCGAAGGTGGACAGAGTTTATGTTTTTACCCCTGTGTGTCAGCAAGATTTCTTGAAAATGGTTGAATAGATTTGGATGATAGTTGGTATACATTTGGACTGACCCAACATAGAATTAATTAGTTTTTGGAGGGTCAAAGTCAAGGGGGCACAGTGGAGGTTACGAAAGTCCAAAACATCCCTATCTATTAATATGGGGACAGATTTTTCACACTATTTTTGCTTTATAACTCAGTCAAAAATGATCGGATTTTGATGCAACTTGGTGGACACTTGTAGAATATTATTCCCTCATTGTCCTGTCAAAAATAGTCCATGTCTATTGGTAACAACAGACACATTTTTGTATTTTTTGAGAGTTGAATATAATCGGTGCTGTGTGGTGGGGGTATGTGCTCTATTGAGTGCTCCTCTAGTTTGGTATTGTCTTTGCAAATGATATTTTTTGGTGTGTCATGACCTTAATTAACCTCATGATATTGTTACAGAGTAGGTTCAGAACACCTTATTTCATACTACAAACAATTATTATCTATACCTCTCCATATCTAAATTATTTGGTATAAGTTATCTTTACTTCAGGGTGGTTAACAATTGTTAGAACACTTAAGGGAGGTAGAGCTTGAAGGTGAAGTTCTGAGTTTTTTCTTCATCTTTCAGAGTTCTTCAGACACGGTGTTGGCTGCAGAGTTCCATCCTATGGATCGTTATGCACTAGTGACATTAGGGAAAGGACACATCCACTTTTGGGGCCTAGAATGTGGAACTCTGGTTAAGAAACTAGGACTTTTTGAGGTGCTTTGTAACACTCTATTTACATAAACTTAAACCTTTCTTTCGATGCAAGAGTAATTTGATTGAAATGATTTTAAAGAAACTGTTTTTTAATTTATTTTTATAAAACAAGCTCATCATTTGAAATTTCAGATTAAAATTTAGAATATTAATGAAATTATTTTGAAAAATCTGTCAAAAAATATTTAGAATGATCAAAATTTCTGTTTTAAATTTTCTTAAAAAATTGTTTTTTTGAATAACATTTTCTTTTATTTCTGAATTTAAATTTTATGATATCTTTACTGCTTAAGGGTAGAAAAAGTGATTTCTGGTTTCTCTGAATTATATATTGAAAATTTAACATGTAACTAATGTGATGTGAACTTTATTTGGTTATATTAAGTTTATCTTGTAGCTTGTACTTACACCTATGATTTATTTGCCTTTTTGCTTGTTTGTTTGTTAATAGTCTTAGCTGCTAATTCAGTTGTATTTTGTTGCAATTATTTTTTGGTACTTTCTAATAGACTTGTACCTCATCAAGTTTTCCGATTCTTGTCTCAGGTATAACTTGTTTTAGTAATAGAGCAAGACTTGGAACAACTGGTATGAATGAGCCAAGTAATGGAACAGGTGGTATGAATGAGCCAAGTAATGGAACAGGTGGTATGAATGAGCCAAGTAATGGAACAGGTGGTATGAATGACTTCCAAGTAATGGAACAGGTGGTATGAATGACTTCCAATTCATGGAACAGGTGGTATGAATGACTTCCAATTAATGGAACAGGTGGTGTGAATGACTGCCAAGTAATGGAACAGGTGGTGTGAATGGCTGCCAAGTAATGGAACAGGTGGTATGAATGACTGCCAAGTAATGGAATGGTGGTATGAATGACTGCCAAACTAATGGAATGGTGGTATGAATGACTGCCAAACTAATGGAATGGTGGTATGAATGACTGCCAAACTAATGGAAAAGTTTATATGAATGACTGCCAAGTAATGGAATGGTTGGTATGAATGACTGCCAAAGTAATGGAAAAGTTTATATGAATGACTGCCAAGTAATGGAATGGTTGGTATGAATGACTGCCAAGTAATGGAATGGTTGGTATGAATGATGTGTAGTGAGTGTTTTTTTGTTTTACTGTCCTTTTGTGTTTTTCATTTTGGCATATCCTTTAGAATCATTTTTTCTTCACTTGTTTTAAGTTGTTTTTGAAGTCATTCTGCTGAACATTTTGTATTTATAGTTGTTTTAATTTTACAGAAGCAAGACAAGCCCAAGTATGTGCTGTGTATGGCTTTCACTGACGTTGGTGATCTACTGACTGGTGACTCTAATGGAAACATCATTGTGTGGTCCAGAGGTATGTTTCCAGTACATGTCTCGTCTTTCTGTTAGTTTACACTTTGCATAGACCTTACATTTGTTGGTTTAGAATTTATTTCTGCCACACGTCTGTAGTACATTTTTGTACTAGAAATAACCTCACTCAGGTATATATAGAAAATACTGTAAAATTTCAACAAAAAAAATGTATTTTGAGTGATGACAGCTAGTTGTGCACTTTCAAGGTTTTATAGAATGAAAGATGATCTATATTTTAATGTCTTGTTAAAAATGTCAGTTGTGATAGTTTAAACAGTTTTGGAATATTTCACACACAAGAAAGTAAAAAAATACAACAGGTTATATAATTAACTGCCACACTTTTATAATATCTGTTTTTCAACATGTTCTTAGAAAATTCAATTAAGTATTATTAGTTAAAGTTACAAAATTAAGATAGTCGAAAGAGAATATGTTAACCCAATACATACTGGTCAAAGTTTATTTAAATTTGTGTGTTATCAACGTCATCTTGTGCGAGAGAAAGAAATTCTAATATTTATACCTTTTTCACCACCATTTAAGCCATGCTGTCAGTGGTCTTAAGTCATATTTCATGATTGTTCATCAGTCTTGTACGAAATGTTTTACCTAACTTTAAGTCAAATACTAATTAGTATTTAACACTATGCCTTTGGTAAATTAGGGAAAACAAGCAATATGTGCTGAATTAGAAAGATAAAGTAACAGGATTTACTTCTGCAGGAAGTAATCGGCAAACACGCACCCTATATGGTGCCCATGAAGGACCAGTGTTTTCTCTCTGTGTCATGAAAGATGGGACTTTTGTTAGTGGAGGTGGAAAAGACAGACGAATTATAGAGTGGGATGATTCATGTACAAGGACTGGAAGAGAAGCCAAGGTGATGAAATTTTCATTATTGTATTTATTACTATTTAACTCAAAGAATGCAACATTCTTGTATTGTCCATGCTTACAGTAGTTTAGTGAATCACTGTATATTTTGCACATTTGTCACCTCTGATATACTAAGAACATTTCAAAATCTTCAATTAATTTTATTTCTAAAACTATAACTAAATTTTAAAATGAATAAAAATAGCTGAACCAGGATGTTGTGAGGAAATACACAATAATAGAAAAAAATGCTGTTTCTTCAGTTTCTTCTGATAACATGTGAGCTAACTTGGAAGAAATGTTGTTTTCTCTTTTGATGTGTTCTTCTTCATCACATTCTACTTTAACAGTTTTTACTGATATCGAATGTTGAATTATTACACATCTATATTTTACAAATCTTTCAACAATAGCTTTAACTGAAGTTAATATTTCAAAACATCGAAACCTCTTTATGTGTTTATGTGGCTTCTTTTAACAATTATAATATTTCTCAGTTACCAGATGCATCAGGGGGTATCAGAACCCTCACACAGGGAAAAGGAAGCATGTTGCTAGTAGGGACTACAAAGAACTGTATACTGCAAGGCACCTTAATGTTGAACTTCTCCACTGTTGTACAGGTATGTTCTAATTCTCTACTGTTGTACGGGTATGTTCTAATTCTCTACTGTTGTACAGGTTATGTTCTAATTCTCCACTGTTGTACAGGTTATGTTCTAATTCTCCACTGTTGTACAGGTTATGTTCTAATTCTCCACTGTTGTACAGGTTATGTTCTAATTCTCCACTGTTGTACAGGTATGTTCTAATTCTTCACTGTTGTACAGGTTTATGTTCTAATTCTCCACTGTTGTACAGGTATGTTCTAATTCTCCACTGTTGTACAGGTATGTTTCTGGTATGTTCTAATTCTCCACTGTTGTACAGGTACATTTCTGAATCTCCACTGTTGTACAGGTATGTTTCTGAATCTCCACTGTTGTACAGGTACATTTCTGATTCTCCACTGTTGTACAGGTGTGTTTTGATAACACTTTTAGGCTCTTTTACTAAATTATTGGTATGTGTAACATGATAGTCTCAAAAAATTGGAATGTTTGAGGATCCATATCATTAAATTCATTTGTTAGCCCTTTACAGGGGCTCTGTTTTTGATGAACTTGCAACCACCAGGTAACCATGAAAGTACACAGATTATAACTTTCAATGTAGTAAGTGTATATTCATAAAATGTGGCAAACTTTTTGTAAAAATTACAAGTCTTGTTCACAAAGGATCAGATGTTTAATTAAGTATTTTTACTAAAGATTTGTCTGTGAATTTATGGAATCAGAGTGTAACTTAGACTTTGACTAGTCTGAAGGAAATGTAATTTTCATACTAATCTTTCGATTTTTTTTTCATATTTTATGTGTATAGCCTACTTAACCTCTTAACCCCTTACGTACCATGGCCATTTTATATTATTGTGAGGGCAAAATCACATTTGTGAATTCAAAAATTATAGAGAACTTATTTTTCAGTGGATTTTATTTTGGTAAATAATAGCATAACATTCAATTATTTGTAATAAATTATATTAGTTAATGAAGTTTGAAGAGGAATTTAATAAAAAAAAATCTCAAAATATGTTTGAGACTATAAATAAGTGCCCTCTAAAACAAAATTTGCAACATTTAATACAAAATTTTTCCTTGCACTTTGGTGCTGGTCCTGCCATCTATGATTGGTATATAAACCTTTTTCTAGTCTGTTTTTATATATATATAAAACAGCATCTAGGCATGTTAAACTTCAGTTTTTAAAACTTTTATTCAATCTTAGTCGAAGGTGTCAATTTCAGTATCATGTTATTCTAATTGCTGTATTTCATTTTTGACAAATCATAGGATGATAAGCAAAGCACGTGACAAAACATTGTACTATGGATTTTACAATATGAATGTGGGTGGTGCTTATTATGGTAACTGCCATTTTATGTATAGGTTGTATTTAGTAGTGGTCAATAATACTTTTTATATAAATCTTAGAAAATTTGGTTTTGGAAAAAAACTGCATGGGATGTATGTAACTTTATTATTTTTCTATAGTAGCTTAGTTCATGCTATATTACATATCTATTTATATTAATCAATATATTGAAAAAGTAACTCAAATTAGATATATTTTTAGGAAAGAAGTTGATCCACGAATGTTAGGGTTAAGATCTATCGATTGTCAAGTGCACGGTCTTTATATAGATTAGGCTTAGCACATTGAACTGAAAGAGTTTGTGATTTTTATATTCTTTTGAATTTAAATTAGTAGTTTTAAGTTCAGTAATTTAGTGGCCCCCAGTGGCACAGCAGACTTACAGCGCTAGAAACTGGGTTTCGATACCCGTGGTGGGCAGAGTAGAGATAGCCCATTGTGTAGCTTTGTGCATAACTACAAACAAACAGTAATTTAGCATAATTTTATATTTAGTTCATAATAATAATAATATGAATCAATATTTAGAGTGATAAACGTGTGTGATTTGTACGTAATACTACTAGTACTAGTACCACATAAGAATTTTATAGTTTTTCCTGCTTACAATCTTTACTTTGTAGTAAGACCCACACTTCTGTTGTTTTTGCTTTAGAATTAAAAAGCTTATTCTGATATTTTGCAAATGGTTTAAAACTCAGTGTACAAGTGACAACAATAACACCCATATGTTGGTTGTGAAACAGACTAAACACATTTGTCTCAACAATACAGGGGAAACTGTGACAAAATTACTTTACAGCACTTAAAAGATTAATCCTAGTCACATTTCTCTCATTATAGGCAAGATTTATGTTGGAATTCGAAACTTAAGCTATTCAGTGCATCGACACCTCAACTATGAGAATCTGTATCATTTGATAATCTCTTGTAACAGGATATATCATGTAACTAGGGTCAGGCGGTGTTATTCAAACCACCTGTACTATAAACTATTACATACATTCACTAGTAGTGGCAATTAGTTTTGTCTGTATAGTGAAACAACATACAAGGACATATGTTGAAATAAACTTGTTTGAAAGTTCAAAGAAATCATGTTCAAGTATGGAAAAGCTTTCTTACTATCACATCTATGGTAATGTTGAAATGCGCCTGCACTGGACTGAATGAGAGCGAACACCAACAGACATGATAGTTTACGGCAAACGTACGAAGTTCACGCTGCTAATCTCACGATTTTTTCAGCACAATAAACAAAGGTATGGCTGCAATGAAACAAACTTGAAATAAAAATATATTTATGAAACAAAATTAAAATGTTTTTATGTACATATATAAACATTAAATCCTAGTTAAAAATTTAAAAAAATACTCGTTCATTGTTTAGGTTTACTTAGAAATATTATTTTTGGGTCTTGTATATTACTTGAAACCATAAAGAGAGTATGTGATTATTTAAAAAATTAAAAATAGACAAAATTTGCATTTTATGGACAATAAAAAGTTTTTAGGGATTTTAAAATAATGTACTAAAACATAAAAAGTAATAAGTTCAAATCTGGAACAAATATAAATAATATAATCATTTCTTATAAATACCATTTCCTAATGTAATTTTCCAAAATATTAATGATCATAATGCAAAAAAACTAAATTTTTCAAAAGTAACAGGCATTATTTCTTAAATTATGTGTAGTTATGAAAGTTTTTATGAAGTTTCAAACAATTTCATCCAGTAGTTTATTGTTGGAATGAAATATGGCAGGACTTGCATTGACTACACAGAAAATTATTAGCCGATAGTAATCGGGTTAAATGAATATCAAAAGTGTTTTTTTTTTCAGTAAAACTATATTATATCTGTTGTATTCTCTACCCTAACCATGCAGATTCAGTCACTTTGACTTAGCTTGTAACCATTGTAAAAAAAGCACAAAATAAGCTTAAATTACCCTTTTTTCACTCAATTAATTACTACAGATTTTAACAGAAAATCTATACTATTATTCTGCTTATTTGTATGTATGACCGTTATGCTTTCTGACTGAGAACGTGCTGCATAAGCATGTGTAGTTAGAATGTTTCCCCAAGAAAAACCGCGCATGCGCATTATTCACTCAACGAGAAATGGTCTGCCTCTGGCAGAGAGCTGAAAAGCTCGGTGATCAAGTCACTACAATTGCTTTATGAAACTCGAAGTAACAACAAAAGGGGAATGTAAATATACTTTACTAACCATTTTGTACAACAGAATATTAAAAACTTATCTAATTTTTTTTAAAAAGGTTTGATGTTAGGTCATAGAAAAACATTATAAGTTTATTTATCGATAGTATTAAGTAAAGTTTAGTCCTAACTAAACTAAAGTAAAAAAAAGTACACAGGTTACAGTGTTAATTTATCTCTTTATCGAACTTAGGCCTAACATAACTTAAACTTTTATAAAGTATGGCCTATATACAAGTGGATTTACATATTTCATTGTCTACGATTACAATTTGTTTGTATTGTGCTAGAAATGTTATATTTAAAGAAGTACTGTTATGATAAAGATACTAATTTGGCCGGAAATGTTTTGCGGGTCTCTGCTAGTTACAATTATTTGTCCTAAAAAACCCCAGGCCCATAATAGTTTAAATCTGTTTTTATTTACTTTTATTGTTTTAGTGCTCTTTGAATAGTATTTAGCTACTAAACCAATGATACAAGTTGTAAATATTGTGATAAATGAGTAGCTCAAGCTAAGGTTTTGAATTACATAATGCCAGAGCTTCTCACAAGCATACTTCAGGGAGAAATTTTTTCGTTTCCATTTTCTTATCTAACCTAATAAGTTTCTAACTTTTACATTTCAGTTACTTTTATAAGAAAAAAATATATATAGACATAAAAATCAAGAAATTAAGTACTTGTCTTTGGTTTCTTGTTGTTGTTTTTTATTTTGCTTGCTGTGTGTGAAACTTAAGCCTACTTTTTTGTAACAATGGTAATAGCACATAAAATTATTATTTCAAATATACAATTAAGACCACAGAAATAACACAAAGCATATAATGTCCTGTAACTATTATATTTTAACTGGCTTTTTCACTAAAGTATAAGTGCCTTAAAACAATTCCATTAGCTGGTTGAATTGAACTTAGCAATAGCAACTACAAATCTGTACACTGAATAATTCAAATGCTTTGGTGAGAATGAGCTAGCATTATATGTCATTCAGTATGTTGAAATTCTGTCTTTTTATTGGTATAAATAATTTAATAGCAAACATTAAAGACAATTATTGACAGATTTTGAAAAACAGTGTGGACAAATATAAGGGTGTGACATGTGGGTTGGACTTTCTGGTTTATTTCTAACTAAAACAAGTTGATTGAAGGATATAATAGTCATATAATGTCATAGCAATAACTATAATGCAAATCTGTAATTTTCATTAAAACTCAGAAGTTCAAGTAGGGATGGAGAGAAAATGTAAATAAAGGAATTTGGAGTAGAAAACTGTTACATGATGTAGAAAAATGAAGACTGAGAACTTATTTAAATATTTTGTGTTCAAATTAAGAAATTAAAACTTATATAATAGTATTCAAATATGAAGTATAAACTGTATTTTAATGGCAAGTTTATTGACATAAATTGAAAATAGTTTGTTTAATAAAATTTTGAATATAACTGTGTAAAAATTATCGTAGCATGCATATTTTGACCCACCTATATCCAGAGGATGCCTTGGTAGAGGATTGTCAAATATTAAGCAATAGAGAGCTTTGTTTGTTTTGATGATTATAGTCTTATTTCTTTCAAAATCAACTTCATATACATGTATTTTCTGGAAGAAATCTAACTGTTTGGCTCTGTTTGTTGACTGTGGTTGTTCATTGGTGTTATATGAACATTCCAGCTGTCTTATAATTAGGCTTTTTGTGATAATTGTATAGCTTATTCGTGGATGTTTGTCATTTTTTAAGATTGTTTGTTAATGTTTGTGTATAAACAACTGACAACAAAAATAATGTGAAAGACTTAGAAGTGCTTTAAATAGCAATTATGTACATGTAAATATATATGGGGTGGAGTACAAGTGACTATACAGAGTTTAGTTTGGGACACATTCTAATGTCTTACTCTGAAACAAGCCATAATTAAAATTGGTTTCAATTGTGTTGATAATATTTTCTTTAGTACTAACTGTATAGTAACTTTTGCCTCATCCTGTACATAAAATCAAGCAAACTTATGCCAAGTATTAAATATTGGATTAAATATATACTTTCAGGGTCATACAGAAGAGCTGTGGGGGCTTGCTGTTCACCCCACACAAAACCAGTTTCTAAGTGGGGGATACGATGGTAATGTACACCTCTGGGACAGTATGTCTCATTCGGTAGTGTGGAGTAAAGACATTGGGGTGAGTTTATGTTTCTAACAAGAATTACAAAGCTGAAACTTGGTGTTTATTGTGCATCAGCAACATGTAGCACTCATCAAATATACGCTGATGTTTGTTTCCTTTTGTGCTTTTCAACTAAAGTTTGTATCTCTTGGACTTGGATGTTTGATTTTTCAGGGGACTAATTTTTTCCTTTGATTTTGTTGAAATTTCATCTTCCTTAATAGTTTATTAAAAAATAAAGCTATTTATAACCCAACTTTTTATCAATGTAATCTATTTCCGCCGTATAATATTCTACATTTTAATTGCACATTCGCTTGAAAATTTTCATTCATTTCTTAATTTTTCAAAAATCATTGTAAGAATATTCATCTCCAGATGCAGAAATTGTTCTCACAAAGTAAAAATTCTTATGTAGAAGATGTGACTAGTGGTGTGATATAACAAGCAAAGGGTAGTGTCAATGTGTTATTTATAGAAGTTTATTACTAAATCTTCTAATGAGATGATTAACAAATAAGTGTTGAAATTATTAAGTGGCTATTACCCCTCGAGTTAATAATTTGTTGTTGTCTCTACTGTTCACTACTAGTGGAGTCTACATTTGAATCTCATTAAAAAGTTTTATCTTTTTGTCTGTTACAACACTCAGTGGAAAAAAAACTGATAAGAAAACATTGGGAGAAAATGCTCATTTTCTATGTAAAATATATAGGGCACTTTAAATTCGATGACGAGGAACCCACTTTGAGATTAATAATGCTTGGAGACAGCTTGAATAGGTAACGAAGAAAAACTTTAATATAAGTTTAACATAACAGCAAATGTACCTGATGATGACAAAACCTTGTCGAAATGTTG